GGGCCTAGCCCTGCCTGGGATGATATGACAGACTTTGAAGATTCCCTATGGAAGGCCTCACCCACCCTAGGGAGCTGAGGGGTGGATGTGATGGGGAGTTGGGATTGACATGTAAAGCAAGCTTGTTTCTAATTTAAGTAAAAAAAATAATAATGAATTTTTAAAACAAATGCAAAAATTATTAGCCAGGCTAGGCGGTGGTGGCACACCCCTTAATCCCAGCACTCGGAAGGTAGAGGCAGGCACATCTCTGTGAGATCAAGACCAGCCTTGTCTACAGAGTGAGTCCCACGACAGCCAGGAACACAAAAAGAAATCCTGTCTCAGGAAAGAAAACGAACAAACAAACAAACAAAATGGCCAGAGATTTGTTATATTTATTAGTAAGAATGAGGGTTATCAGTCACAGACAAACGTGTTGTGCCCAAATTCTGAAGCCCAAAATCACCAAGAGGCCCATTTCTATGCAAAAGCAAAGAATCTGTTATTAAAGTTATTTAACGAGTTAACCCCACTAGCTCGGGCCCTTCACCCCACCACCATGGCAGAGGGCTGGAGAAAGGACCCCGAGCAACCTCGAGGCAGGGATCTTAAAGGGCAGTGTAAGGGGAGTGTCTAGGGGTATGAACAGTCTCAGGATTGGTGTGTTTCCAGGTTCAGACGACCTGCCCTGTGTTGATTGGTCAATTGGTTGCTATGGCCCATAGGCCCTCCCAGAGTGGTTGCTATGTTCTGCACATCACTGTTGTGCACTTGTCTGTAAAGCACACCCAGAGCCATAAAGCACAGCCCCACCAGCTAACTTCTGATTGGTTCCTTGTCATGAGAAGTGCATCTGACATCCTACTGACCTGGACAGGAGCCTCAAGGTCATGTAAGCACATGGTAACCTGTCATGGCTGCTAAAACGGGGAGGCTGGTCACTACACATGGTATGTACTCACTCATATATGGATTTTAGACATGGATCAGGGGAGTGCCAGCCTACAATCCCACTGCCAGAGATTCTGGAAAACAGGAAGTACCCTAAGAGAGATATGCATGGTACTCCAGAGATGAGGAATGAGTCAAGATCTCCTGAGCAGATTGGGAGCCTGGGGGTAAAGGGAGAAGAAGCCAGGAAAAAGAGTGGGGAAGAAGAAAAGGGGAGAGGAGGACATGGGGGAGCAGGAAGGCTGAGTCTGGGGAAGAATAGAGAAGAACAGGATGAGAGATACCATAATAGAGGGAATCATTGTACATTTGAGGGGAGATCTGGCACTGGTGAGAACTCCAGAGATGTACAAGGTGACACCAACTGGCAAACTAAGCAAGAGTGGAGAGGCTACCTTAAATGCCCTTCTCTGATAATGAGTTTGACGACTACCTTATATACCATCCTAGAACCTCTATCCAGTGACTGATGGAAGCAGAGGCCGACACCACAGCTAAACACTGAACTGAACCCTGGAACCCAGTGACAGAGAGGGAGGACTGATGAGTAAAGGGGTCAAGACTGGGCTGGTGAAACCCAGAGAAACAGCTGTCCTGAACAAGGGGGACATCTTGGACACCAGACTAATGGCTGAGAGGCCAGCATGGGACTGATGCAGATCCCCTGAATGTGGGCATCAGTGAGGAGGCCTAAGGCAATCTATGGGGCTTTGAGTAGTAGATCAGTATCTATCCCTGGCACACAAATGAACTTTGGGTGCCCATCCTGCAATGAGGGATGCTCTCTCAGCCCGGACACTTGGGGGACATGTGAAGCAACCTTGTTTCTAATTTAAATTTTAAAAAATTAAAAAGAATGAGGGGTTACATATATATATATTACATATAAGTTTATATTATATATAAAATAAAGTATATATACTATATACACCTTTTCATATAGTAATATATACATATACACACATATATACTTTTTTGTTGTTGTTCTGAGACAGGGTTTCTCTGTGAACCTCTGGCTGTCTTGGTACTTTGTAAGCTGGCCTTGAACTCACAGAATATATATATATATAATTTATATATAAATACACTATATTTATTTTATTGGTGTATGTTTATGTATATGTGTAGCACATGGCGCATGAGAAGAGATCAGAGGACAAATTCCTGGTAGTCTGTTTTCTTCTTCCACCATATAGGTTCTGGGGATTGAACTCAAGTTGTTAGGCTTAGTAGCAGCTGCCCTTACTGAGTCACCTTGCCAGCCCTGGCCTCAGATTTCTTTCTTGGTGTCTTTAAAAGCTCCAAGAGTAGTGGTTGGATTTGCTCCAATACTGTCCAAGAAACAGTATTTAGCTTGTTAGAAAGCAGCTAGCTGAGTCTCTCCTTGGTTAGGATTAAGGTAATGTATCCATGATGTAAATGAGAGATCCCCTCAGTGTCTTTTCCCCTATGTCACCAATGGCTCCACAGAACCTGAGAGATTGCTCAAACACGCCCAGACTGCCTGGCTCACAGTAAATGCCCCAAATGAAACAGCTTCTTCATTGTCATAGCATGCTCGATATGCATTATATTACAAGCAGTACAAAAGTGGTTTCCCCGGAAACAAACCAGCCTCCAAATGACTCTGAAGAGAGCCCAGAAGGAAAGAAATTGAGGGGCATCACTGTCATGCTGAATAAAATAGGTCACATGCAGGCAGACAAATAATACCGGGTTTCTTTCATTTATGTGACAAAATATTCTCCATAGATACATAAAGCCATTTGTGGTGACATATTATTCATGATTTATTAAAGCTTGACTGAGGAGTCAGAGAAGCAAAGTCAGTCACAAGCCACAGAAGCCCGGCACACACTCTTAAGTCCAGCAGCACAGTATTTACAGTTTAAGCACCGGACAAGAGGCTCACTGCGATCAGGAGAAGAGAGAAGACAGAAAAAGTAGGCAGGCAACCTTTTCCTTTATAATCCCCATATAGTGAGGCTACAGGGAGGTTAAGCTTCTAGGAGGAGTTGAGATTTGAGGAGGCAAGTTTCTATCCTGCCAGAAGGGAGGGGGGTGGAGTTTGGGAGTTGGGAGATTTATCTAGGTGGTTAAGAGCACTCATTGTCCTTCCAGGGACTCGGGTTCAATTCCAAGCACCCACACAGTGGGTCCTAAGAGCGTCCTATAATTCCAGTTCCATGGGTCCATCGCCCTCTTCTGGCCTCTAGGCACACAGACAGACAGACAGACAGACAGAGAGACAGACAGACAGACATAACACACACACACACACACACACAACAGTTTTTTGAAAAGAGAAGGGAATCGTGTGAATTTTTTAGGAAACTGCAGTAACAGAAAGGTCGAGGAATTTGAGACAGTCAAACCTACTTATTCCCATCTCCTATTCTCTTCCTTCCATACTGACCTCTTATTGCCTTAAAAAAAAATCAGAAAGCTGGGGCCTAAGAGATGGCTCCATGATTAAGAAACTCAAGTAGATCTGGAATAAGCATCCAACAATCCATGTAGGCACAGTAGCTTGCCTGTAATTACACCTGGGAATTCAGAAAAAGGGGATCCCAGAACAAACTTAATTGCAAGACTACCTGCTTCAGCAAGCTCTGGTTTCATTTAGAGATCCTGTGCCATTCTGAATGAGAATGCAGCCTCCCTGTAGGCTCACATTGTGGGTGAAAAGGGCCAGGAGAGCCTCTGACTATACCTAAGACCTGGCTGGGCCAAGGTAAAACACCTTGACCATAATTTGACCCCAGGTCCAAGGCTTGAAATCCCACCAATTCCTGAGTTTGTCTCCAGATCAGGCTACTAAAATCCTCCAAATCTCAAGCTTGCCTGGAAAGATCTGCTACCCCAAGACACTCTATATAAGCTCTGTGCCCTATTCAGCTTACTGCTGCTTCTCACCCTCGAGACAGCCACAGTCCTGAATTCTTCCTTCCCAACAAGTCACTTGAGTGAGTTTGTTGTGTGGTGTGATGCTTTCACCTGAGTGGAACTGAGCTGTAACACTTTCACTGGGGGAATTTTCCCCTAGCAGAGCAGAGCTGTGTCACTTCACCTGACCAGAGCAGAGCTGTGACAACTTGGCTGGGAAGCCCTCCAGTTGTTACACTTGCGTTGAGGAAACCTTTGCGTTGAGGAAACTTTCCCTGGAGCAGGGCTGTACAATGCTATGTCTACAATGACTTCGTGGTATCCCTTGGCGCCCAACTGCCAAGATACCTTCCCATCTGAGCTGTAATGCTCCCATATATAACTGAATGTTTGGTTCCCAGAAGGGGAAACTGTCTTGGAAGGATTAGGAGGTGTGACCTCGTTGGAGGTATGTCACTAAGGAGGAGCATTGAGGTTTCAAAAGTCCACACCATTCCCAGCTAGCTCTCTCTGCCTTGTGCCTATGGATCAGAAGTTAGCTCTCAGCTACAGCCACAGCACCACATATACCCGCCTGCTGCCATGTTCCCTAACGTGATGGTCACAGAATCTACCGCTGTGGAACTCTGAGCCCTCAAATTAAATGCTTTCTCATATAGTTGACTTTGTCGGGGTGTCTAGTCATGGCAATTAAAAGTAACCAAGACAGAGCCTGTGTCAAAGCATGAACAATAAGAACGAACAATATTTGGCTTCTACCCACACAGGAAGATATGACCACCCCCAGTACGCCCCCCCCCCCACAAATAAACCATACCCATATACAGGTGAACCTATATACGCATATGAATGCACACTATGCCCATGCATGCATATGCAAAGAAAAAAAATCAGAAACCCAAGTTGGTTTGTCACCTTCTGATTCCTATTATCAGTGAGCGTATGGCTGTCTATGATGAGTAGCAGATGTCAATCGTTGGGGAAAGGATTTGGGATCATAGAGTTGGGCGGAGGCCAGACCTCTCTCTCTCCATCTTTGGCTTTGTGGTCTTAATCAGCTTTGGACCCTGAGACAGGCAAGGTGCACCGCTTCTGACCACACCCTGCCCAGGCATTGTGAAGCCAAGGCAGGTACAGTGATCTCATAGATACCGCGGTGCACCTCTCTCCCATCCTGCTCACCCTGGTCCTAGCTGGGCCTTTTCTTCCTGCACCCCAGAGTAAAGCAAGGTCTCAACTTTGTCAATCAGCCTCACCCAATCCACTTGCAACGATGGATGTAAATGGTTCCAAGCGCTGGGAGCCCCACAGGTCGCTTGCTCTGAACCCTCCATCAACCCCAGTAAACAAGAATCGGCTGAAAGAATCCTGTGGTGTGGTTGGTAACAAGCTGCCAGCAAAGCTGAGTGCTGTGGTCATCGACATGGGTTCTGGCACGTGTAAGATGGGCTTTGCAGGACAGACTCGGCCCACCTACATCGTAGCCAATGTTGTGGGCTGCCAACCCAGGAAACAAACCACCATGGGGCACTTCAAGGTGGAGACTTACGTTGGTGACGCTGCCCACGCTTGCCCGGAGTTAACCCTGACGCAGCCAGTTCGTAATGGCCTTGTGGTGGACTGGGAAGCAGCTGAGCTCATCTGGCGCCACATTCTGGAGAGTGACCTCCGAGTGGCCACCCAGGACCATCCTCTGCTCTTCACGGAACCACCCTTCAACCCTGCCAGAAACCGTGAGAAGCTGGTGGAAGTTGTCTTCGAGTCTCTGCACTCCCCTGCCATGTATGTGGCATCCCAGTCTGTGCTGTCAGTCTATGCCAATGGGCGCGTCAACGGGCTGGTGGTAGACACTGGCCACGGGGTCAGCTACACAGTGCCAGTCTTCCAAGGCTACAACCTGCCCAATGGCATCCAGCGCCTGAACCTGGCTGGCCACTACTTGACCACCTTCTTGGCAGAGAAAATCTTGCGGTCCAGCTTGCCGCTGAAGAAGGAAGACACGGACAACATGGAGAGCATCAAGCATCAATACTGCTATGTGGCCTCGGACTTCCAGAAGGAGCAAGGTCGCCCTGATGACAAATTCCGGCGGTGCCTGAAGCTGCCAGATGGACAGATGGTCACAGTCGGGAAGGAGCTCTTCCAGTGCCCTGAACTACTATTCCATCCCCCGGAGACCTCGGGACATTCATCTTTGGGCCTCCCCGGCATGGTGGAACGCAGCCTCTGCACAGTGCCCCAGGAGCTGCGGGCCGACATGGAACAGAATGTGCTGCTATGCGGAGGTTCCTCTCTCTTCCCGGGCTTCGAAGGCCGCTTCAAGACTGAGCTGCTGCAATGTCTTAGTCCACAAGCCCAAGTGGTTGTGGCCGCTCACCCCAACAGGAACCTCTCGGTGTGGATTGGGGGATCCATTCTGGCCTCTCTGTATGCCTTCCAGTCCCGCTGGATCCAGCGTGAGCAGTATGAGGAACAAGGTCCCAATATAGTGCTCCACAAGTGCTCTTGATTCAGGACAGGGTGCAGAGGGGTGTGGGAATAAAGCTTCCGTAGGACACCTCTGCCTGTCACGTTCCATTCTCCCCATCTCACTCAGTTAACCCCACCCAGGAGCCTCAGATAAGCATAGACCAAAGGCCCCTGGAACTTAACCCTCACACATTCCTGGGTGAAATCTGACCTAAAGTACCTCCCCTAATTCTTGAGACATCCTAATTCTCACCCATTCCTCCACAAGGATCTCTCACACAATACCATTCTCTAATCTCATCAACCCACCCTCCCGGGATCATTACCTTCCCAGCCCACCCAAGGCGTTCTGAGTCTGGGCAGATACACACCCACAGACTCTAGCATTCTGGATCTTTTGGTTGTCCTTCTGACTGGGATATTCTGGAAACTAGATGTCTTGCAGTTTTCCAAAGGTAATTGAACTTGAACATATTTTCCATGTGTATTGACCATTTGCATTTCATCTTTGGAGAACTAGTAGTTTATTAGCTTACTTAGTAACTGAACTGATTTTTGTTGTTTCATCTTCTGAGTTCTTTATAAATTGTAGGCATTAGTTCTTTGTCAGATGTACAGTGTGCAAAGAATTTCTTCCATTCTGTGGGATGCTTATTGACTCAATTGGTTTTGTGTGTGTGTGTGTGTGTGTGTGTGTGTGTGTGTGTGTGTGTGTGTAGACAGGGTTTCTCTGTGGCTTTGGAGGCTGTCCTGGAACTAGCTCTTGTAGACCAGGCTGTTCTCAAACTCAAGTGTTGGGATTAAAGGTGTGTGCCACCACCACCCTGCAATTTTTGTGGGTTTTTTGTTTTGTTTTGTTTTGTTTGTTTTGCTTTTGTTTGTTTGTTTTTTTTTTTTTTTTTGGTTTTGGTTTTTCGAGACGGTTTCTCTGTATTGTTTTGGAGGCTGTCCTGGAACTCGCTCTGTAGACCAGGCTGGCCTTGAACTCACAGAGATCTACCTGCCTCTGCCTCCCGAGTGCTGGGATTAAAGGCGTGCACCACCATTTTGTGTGCTTTTATTTGCTATGCAGGAGCCTTTTAATTTTGTCAGTCTTAATTGACAATGGTTGGCCTTATCGCGGAAACAACTGGAGTCCTGTTGAGAAAGTCTTCCTCTGTGCCTATATTAAATTGTTTTTCTTTATTCATTCTTTATGAATGTGTTGTTTAAATGTCTTATGGCATTACATGCATGGCTGATGTCCGTAAAGTTCGAAAGAGAGCATAAATTGCCCTGCGATTGAATGTATAGGTGGTTGGAAGCCACCATGTGGGTGCTGAGAACTGACTCCAGGTCTTCAGCAGAAGCAATGTTACCCTAGTTCCCTGTGTTTTCCTTTAGCAGGTTACTGTTTTCAGCTCTTCAGTGAAGGTCTTTGGTGGCCTCAGAGTTGATGAACATCTAATTTAATTCTTATGCATATGGCTCTCTGGCCATATGCATTTTAGTTTTATCTATTTTATTTTAAGTGTTTGTGTGTTTTGCTTGTATGCATGTATACGCACCATGTCAGTGCATAGTGCCCACAGAAGACAGAAGGGGGAGTCAGATCCCCTGGCTCTGTGGGTCTTGAAAATCAAACGTGGGTCTTCTTCAAGAGCAACAAATGCTTTTAATCTTTGAACATCTCTCTAGCTCCACACCCCCTCTTTGAGACAGGATCTCACTGCACAGCCCTAGTTGGACATGAACTTCACATGTAGATCAGGATGGTCTTGACTTCACAGAGATCCACCTGCATCTGTCTCGTGAATGTTGCATCTAAAGGTGCAAACTACCACAGATGGCTCAGTTATTCACTTTTACCAATACCATTTGTTAGAGAGGCTGTCACAGAGATAATGGGTTCTGCAGAGAAGCATCATCAGCTGTAAACTGAGCCATTGTTGCACATGAACTCAGAGGAGATGTGAATACATGCACAAGATTTGCACACGGATAAACTGTAATGAAATTAGACAAAAAAGTCTTACCTGGAAATATAATAAGAGTTAACAAATTAAGAGATTTTTCCTGATACTATTGTGTTGCATGCAAGTATTAAACATAGGCCTGTTTCCCAGACACTAGCTTCTTAGGATGAGCATAAACAAAGGGAAAATCAATGATGTAGATGAATGGATCCTTGGAGGGTATTGATCTGTAGTAAATAAGAGTCAGGGAAGGAAATCATGTTTTGTAACCCAAATAATAGTTTGTCATGGTAAATGATGAAGTGGATGCTAACGGATTCAGCATGAGTCAGGGGATTGCTGGATTTTGTCTGATCATTAGTTCTTCACTCAGTGCATAGTACAGGCCCTGGTTGACTATTCTGTATTTGTGACTGTTCATTCTTTCTGCATGATGGATGCTCTGAAAATGAGACTGCTTCTCTCTGTCTCGGACTTTGAAATGGAACATGCAGAGTATACACACGAGTTCTGACTGCCATGGGTCCTTCAAGAACCTCTCCTTCACATCTACATGTGGATCTTCTGAGACACACCACTAACAGCACTTCTAATGTGGTTCAGGCAAATAGCTTGTGATCAAATATGTCCAACATGGCTTCCTCCCAGGAGCCTTAATGTGTGGGTATGTGAGTAACATCATTGCATCTGAGGCTGAGATGACCTCAGAGCTGGTATTTTCCACCTGAAAATGCAGAGCCCTGAGGAAGATAATGTCCCTAGACTTTTCCAAGGGAGTAAAGCCATTTGGAGAGAAAGGAACTGGGGGCAGATGAGTGACATCTCCAGTGGACAACAATTATAAAATAATATCACAATGATGCCATAATAATGATGATGATGTACATTTCACACAAAAAATGAGAGATGCTACTTGCCACATGTGCCAACATTTCACAGAGGGTGCCTAGTGCTGCCTGTTGTAGGTGCCAACATTGCACAGTAGGGATATAAGGTTGGTAACCGGGTCACTTTTAACCTGATTGAAGATGTGTGTCTCTGCTATTTTCAAGTATTTCACTCTGACATTTACACCACAGTCACCTCTCTTTTAGGAATTTTCTGTAAACACATTTGCATATTGTTACCATTGTTGTGCAGAGATTCTGATCTCAAACTCCTAGTGAGTGATGGGGAAATTCTGAGTGACAATTATTGTCCCCCCTGGGGTGCTGGGGTGATAAAGACTGTTCAAGAGGAGCTTCATTGCGGGCATGGAAACCACAGCAAGGTTCCCAGAATGAAGAATGCATGCAACTCTGAATGTCCACGCTCACAGTCAAGGAGCAGGTTTGGGGGTGACCGGTCAGATAAAGAAAATGACTAAGACAAAGAAGGACTGGGGGGCTCTGGTTTGAGTTGAAACCAGTTCTGTGAAATCAGATGTCAGCTCAGGATGAGGACAGTGGCAACACTGACAGTTACCAGATACCTATTCTGATCAAACTGAGTTAGCACTGTTCTCACTAAAATGAAACAAAGGAGAATAAACAAACAAACAAAATGATGAGATCTTGCAAACAAACCCAGGAGAATCTCTGTAATCCATATGAAGAGCAACTCTTTGTACAACATAGAGTTCCCTTCTGTGCCCCCAGACCTTGCCACTGGAGACACAGAATGGAGACTTTTTTTTTTCTGTCTGTGGGAAGCTAAATTGGGCTGTATGCAATTCTCTTCTCTTTTGTCAATTTAGGAATGAATTAACCTGAAAACCTTGCTACCTCCAGAACTGCACATAAGATATACTGCCTTCACCCAAAAGAATATGGTTGAAATTTCTTTCATTTTTTTTTACATCCAGGCTGTACTTGGTCCTCTGTTTATTAAGGATGAATGGAACACCAGGCTAAAGTAATATTTCCATATGTAAACTCTTCCAGTACAAATACGTAAGGTGATTTGTAAGAAATGGCTTATATATTCATAATGTCTAGGACTCACAAAAGGTATATAGCTGTCATATACTTTGCTTTTCCTTCCAGAAATATAGACTAATATCTCTTGTGGTAATGTATTGTTTATGATCTAGTAAAGCTTGCCTGGAGAACAGAATGCAAAGCTAGCCACAGCCAGAGGTCAGTTAGCCATAGAGGCCAGGCAGTGGTGGCACACACTTTTGATCCCAGGACTCAGGAGACAGAGGTAGACAGATCTCTGTGAGTTCAAGGCCACCCTGGGCTGCAAGAGAATCAGCTCATACAAAGGAGATCTCAGCATTTGGGACCCCACGCCTTTAATCCCAGCACTAGAGAGGTATATAAGACAGGAACAGGGTCTCAGGGCCATGCTGAAGACAGGATCACCTCAGCCTTGGTAGAGGTAAGAACGTTCTAGTAGTTGGCTGCTTTGTTTTTCTGATCTTCAGCTTAAACCCCAATATATGTCTCTGGGTTTTTATCGTTAATGTTACAGTCTCTCTTCTTTTGTTGTTGTTGAGACAAAAACTTGGGTAGCCTGGGCCTTAGTGACTGCGTGACTGAGAGTGGACCTTCAAATCCACGCCTCCACTCCCTGCCACATACTAGGATTCCAGGCATGGAACATAAATGGAATTACCCACTACAATTGTACAATTGTACAATTGGCTTGTTTTATGTCAACTTGACACAAGTTAGAGTCATTGGGGAGGAGGGAGCTTGAATTGAGAAAATGCTTTTTTAACATTGGGCTGTAGGGAAACCTATAGAGCATTTTCTTAGTGACTGATGTGGGAGGCCCCAGCACACAGTAGGAGGGCCCTCTCCTTGGCGGTTCCAGGTTCTAGAATAACGCAGAATGAGCAAGCCATTGAGAAACAAGCCAGTAAACAGCACTCTCCCATGGCCTCTTCAGCAGCTCCAGCCTTCCAGTTCTTGATGTGTTTGAGTTCCTGTCCTAAGTTCTTCAATTATGAGCAGAGATGATGAAGCATAAACCAAATAAATACTTTCCTTCCCGAGTTGCATTTGGCTGTGAGGTTTCATCCCAGCAATAATAACCCAGACTAAGGGATCAATTCTCTGTTATCTATTCACACTGTGTAACAGAAGTATCAGACAGGACTACAGTAGTTTGAATGTAATTGGCCCACTTAAGCTCACAGGGCGTGGCA